TTCTGCCCTGCATGACTAGGGAGACTGATTCCGAGCCGCAGCCACTGCCAGAGAGCTTGGACTTGCTATTCAAATCCCAGGGCCGTTGAAATCTGTAAAGTGGCTACATGTAAACGAATCCAGGCTGTGGGTGACATGTGAGAGCCGGGGTCTGGTTCTCATCTGTTTGACCGAGGGGGGCTGCGCGGGCATCCTTTCCATTGGAAAGTCTTCTGGTTCCATTAGGAGGAGTCCCTTGTTTTTCTCCCTCACTCCCTCCCTCCCTCCCTCCCTCCCTCCCCTGCACTTCATTCCCCATGTGTGTGCTTGAATAGTAACACTGAGTGAGTGCATTTCTTTTTAAAAATATATACATATATATTTTTTATTAATTTCAGAGAGGAAGGGAGAGGAAAAGAGAGATAGAAACATCAATGATGAGAGAGAATCATTGATTGGCTGCCTCCTGCACACCCCACACCAGGGATGGAGCCCGCAACCCGGGCATGTGCCCTGACCAGGAATCAAGCTGTGACCTCCTGCATGGACCTGATAGGTATTCAGGTCAGTTTTGGGAATTATTTTACAGGAAAACCAGCTCCCTTCCCCCCAACTCTCTCTGTATTCCCAGCCTCCTCTATGGACTGGGCTTTTTCAGAGTTCCCGAGCTGGAGAAGGGGGGACAGAATGGGAGGGTGTCGCCGAGAGAACCACTGAACTAAGCGATCTGTTCCCTGCAGGAGGCAGGCGTTCAGATAGTTTGGGGAACAAAAGGCAGCTGTTAGGTTTATTGGGTTATATTTTACATAGATCTGTATTCAAGATGTTGGCCATTTTCAAAAAAGCTTTCCTGGGTTAGTGCAGTAGAATCTGCGAGGGAACTTGCGTGATTGGCCGTGTTTCCAGCCTCTACCCACACGCAGCTTGGGCCACCTCAAGAAGAGAGGTATTCAAGCCCTTGTTTTCAGGCCGAGCCTTAATTCCCACTCAGATTAACGGAGTATGTGTGTACTTGTCTTACAGTTGAACAGGGATTTGCAGAGGTGAAAGGTCTCCTGCCTTGGGGAACACGGGCCCTTTATTTCTAGCCGTCTGTCCCCCTTACCCGGTTCTCCCCTTTCTGTCCATGTCCAGAGTCCTGCCGAGCCTCCTGGGGACTGAGGGCTAATCTTGTACCTCAGGATGATTCTTAGGGTTGAGTTGGCCTGTGTTCTACCAGGCAGAGCAGCATGGGGTTGGAAGGGAATTTTTTAGCGGACTTGATTGGAAAAGTGACTTTATCCATCATATGAAATGTAAGCTGCTTTTAAAAAAAATGTTTTTATTGATTTCAGAGAGGAAGGGAGAGGGGGAGAGAGAGAGCTAAAAACATCGATGAGAGAGAATCATTGATCGGCTGCCTCCTACACACCCCGCACTGGGCTCAAGCCTGCGACCCGGGCATGTGCCCCGACCAGGTTGACTGGGAATCGAACCGTGACCGCCTGGTTCATAGGTGAAACCTCAACCACTGACCCACATGGCCGGGCATATTTAAGCTGCTTTGGAATCAGTTGCCTAATGGTACATAATGCTCCTGGTATACAAGGCACCTGCACCAGGGTCTCAAGACATGCCCTTCCTCTCCCTCCACCTCACACAAAGAATTAAATGGGAGTTTGACAGAGGCATAGGAAAGACATAGCGGTGGCCCAAAGGAAGAAGAGCCACACTGTAGAAATAATGTAGCGCATAGCACGGCACTGCATCTGCTGTCGGAGGGATCAGAGATGGGTAGGATGGTTTGGAAGAGACTAAATGGAGGACATTGGTTTTGAGCAGATCTTTGAAGCAAAGATGGAAGAAAGGAACATAAATTAGACATAACAGAAGGGAAAAGATGATGTTTCTCACTGTAAAGTAGAAAGATGATTTTTATATAGGAAACCACATACAAGAGTGTGGAAGTAATCAGGAGAGTTTGTCTTATGGACTGCTGAGCGGTAAGACAGCTGGTAGGAGTGGGGCAGAGGAGCAGGTCTCCGATTCTAAGGGACTTGGATTTGAAGGGCTGGGCACTAATGCTAGTTGTGAAGGGTAAGGCATCTCAATCAAGAAAACTTGGAGAAAAGATTCAGCATGGTGAATTTAAAAGGAACAAATAATAGGTTCAATTATTGGGTTAAACATGTTGTACGACTAAAGGATAAAGAAATGTGTTATAAAAGTTGTTCATGTGGTGGGGGAAATCATCTGGGAGCACATAATAGTATTTTGTGGCTTTTAAAAAAGTGAACACGTGTTAGGCTGCTGTAGTGGAAACATCATGTCCAGTTCTGTGCTGTTCCAAAAAGAACATATGTGTTATGTTTTTTCTTTGTTTGTTTGTTTTTCCCATTTTGGGCCCCACGCTTTAAAGAGGTTTTGGATGAGCTAGAATCATCCAGTTGGGGGAGCAGGATAGGTTTGATGCCTCTGCTACCTACTAGCTTAATCTTTCTAAGCTTCAAGGTCCTCATATACAGAGTGGAGATCATAATATAATATACTGTAATAAAAGCTGTAAAATGCTTAGCAAATACATAATACATAGTAAGTGCTTTCAAAAATGTTGGTGACTGTCATTATCACTATTGTTATCTTAAGCATGGAAGAGCTACTAAAATAGTGAGGAAGTCCAGAAATATTTATTGATACATATATATATTTATTTATATATTTTTTGAGGTTTTGATTGATTTATTTATATTTTTAATTAATATATTTTGATTGATTTCAGAGAGGAAGGGAGAGGGAGAGAGAGATAGAAGCCTCAATGATGAGAGAGAATCATTGATCAGCTACCTCCTCTCACCCCACAGCCCGGGCACGTGCCCTGATCAGGAACCGAACCATGACCTCCTGGTTCATAGGTCGATGCTCAACTGCTGAGCCACGCTGGCTGAGCCAGAAATAGTTGTACTGTACTGAGGAATAGGCCAGGGGTGGGCAACCTTTCTGTGAGTGCGTGCCAAAACCAGCAAAATCTCTGATTCAAAATTCTTCTGTGTGCCAACCCTAATTTTTTGACACCATGTTA